CCATAAAAATCGAAAGGTCATAAAAAAAAAAAAAAAAAAAAATTGTTTTAATCTAATTTTAGCATAAATAATAAACCCTGAAAATTTAAGAAAAATATGAGGTGGTCGTGCAACCACTTCTGGATGATTTCGCATGGATTGACCCTTAAAATAGAGACAAATAAACAATGTAAAAATTATATTAATAGCAAATTAAACGACATTTTAAAAACATAATAAGAAGTTTTCCATTCAAATACTCGACACGCTTCTATATAATCTCTGAACAATAGAAGACTTGAGTATTAAAGCCAACGACCATTTGACGCTGTTCAGTTGAATTACCGCTGTCGCTGGACAATTGTCGCTATTCTAAAAAGCGTCCACAACCGCTGTCATCATCTGTTCGTGACGCCAACGACCAACGACCAACGACATCGCTGTGTTGGTTCAATGATAATCATCGCTTGTGCCGGTTGTCGTCCATCGCTCCATTAACCACTATCTCCGTTCACTTCCAAAACATATACATTAGTAGTGACATTGACTCCAAATGATCGTTGTGAAGTCAATGTCATCGCTATAGTCGAGAACATTGTCCATCATCTCCGGAGCAGCAGTTATCCGCTCTGATCCACTTACGCGACTAGTGATTTTAATAATCACATCATACGTGTGTTGTGACAAATAGAATGTTGCTTATGTGAGTCACCATAAGGATAATCTCGTCCCACATTCACTCACGACCAGGTCAACACGCAAACGGTATGTCGAGACCCAAGTCACTGCAGAACCCGCAGCATATATAGCGAACCCGAGAACGCATCGCCACCGACAAATCAAAGATCAGTGACGTCATCCTATCAACCATTGGCTCCGCGTCAGCGAACATCTGACACTTGTGGCAGAAAAACATCCCCACGTATCATACTCATTGTCATGTCGCTATGTTATTAAATAAATATTCATATAAATTGTATTTTTGTATATATTTTTTTATTGTTATATTCACTATAAAATGATTAAATACACTTATAATAGTAAATATATAGATATTATAAAAGTAATTGTAATCATATTTTTCTTATTTTCAATGGTTTATTAGCTATTGAGATTTACCTGTTATTATAAATTGAATATTGTTATAGATCACCGTAATGAAATAAATTATTACTATTATAATACATTATNGAATATTGTTATAGATCACCGTAATGAAATAAATTATTACTATTATAATACATTATAATTGTGGTAGTCTGTATTGTGATAATTTTATAAGTTATCAATCCATATTTCCGTCAAATGCCGATTGCTAGTCAAATGTTTTTAGAATAAACAAAAAAATAATAAATTCTCAGCTTGGTATCGAATCTAAACCCTGTATTGATCAATGAATTATTCAAAAAGTTTTAGTAATATAAAGTTTTAACAATGGCACACGCCGAGTTACAATACTGTATTCATCAGTCAATGGACATGGGATCTAGTATGATGGAAGTTCATTTAGGCAAAAGTCAGTCATAATGGGGTACCCTTGAAAAATCAATGAAACAAAACTAATTTTTTTTTATAAATACTATAGCTATTTCCTTTTTTTTATAATCAGGAAGTGTCTAAGCGATTTTTAGAATAGAAATTTTAATTACAGTCAGATCCCATCAATAGTTGTCCTAACTAACCAAATCTCAACTGTAACATGACTCTGCTGTGATGGATTATTTTTAATTTAACATTTCATATTAACAATTTGTGTCTCAAATAACGGTAGAACTGTAGCAAAATAGAAAAATATTTCTAGTTCTATGGCTATTATACAGGATATTTAATAGTGTTTAGAGTAAAATTCCGTTAAATAAGTAAGGTATAGGTATAAGTGGGATAGAGTTAATATTGGAAAATGAGAATTTGAACACAAAACGCAATATTAAAATAAATAATAAAATTATTTGGTTTATTATTTTAATTCATGATGTGATAAATAAACACATGTATACACTGTGACTAATGAACTACAATTTTAATAAAAATTTACTATAAGATATCTTATAATAAAATAAAATTTTGAAAATCATAATTTAAAAAATTGATACATAAATTATACACAAATAATTGCACTCTAAAATAAAAAGTATTGTACTATAACTTATTTAATAAATAAACTTTTTTCATATAAAGCTTCATTTTTTAAAACTAGTATTTTGAAAAATTAGGTACGTCATTAATCAAAACAATTTCGTGGAAATGATAGTAAATTCGTACATTGTTGAAGTATGACTTTGATGTTAAAAATACCATACTTATATAATTAATAATACCATATTTATTTTTTAGCATCAAAGTCATCAAAGCCTAAATCTATACAAAATTTCTGTACACCGTTTGCAATATTCTCTTTTAAATCTTTGTTATGTAGGTCGAAACAGTCGTATAATTCAATGTGTTTTTTTATATTAATAGTAATCTGAACTTTATTATTAAAATTTTTAAAATTTTCTTCAAAAATATTCAAGTAAATAAGTTTCTTTCTTTCATTTTTAGCAGTATTAATGTGAACAATTTCTTTACTGTTTTTAATTTTTGATTGCCATTTTTTTAATTTCTTTAGTGCTGTAAGAACCGGAGTTGAGTGATTGAAAAATTTTAGTGCTTTTATCATACAAGTTATCAATGGACTGAAAGTATTAACAGCCCTATTAAAAAGGTTCAAGTTTTTAATTATATCATCATCAAAATTAAAACCTCTACTATGTAGATATAGTATAATGTCATATTGTTTTTTCGAAATTTCCTTATGCTTTATACTTTCTGGGTTTTCCAATATATCTTTATATTTTACATACTTACTAATGTCACATTGACAATTATAAAATTTTTTAACAATGTGGTAGTAGATTGAACTCAATATCATTGATCCATATCTCATTTTTTTCTTTAAATTTTTACTGGTTACTATCTCTGTATCGCCATTATCGGGTTCAAATAGATTGTCAGTATAAATTTTTGTCTCGGTATTTTTTGTACAATAACAATAACTATAGTTTTTTGTTAACTCATTCCAATTGTTATGACTAAAAATTACATTTAGTTTCTTAATTTTTTCTGTACTTGCGTTGCAATAGAATGTACAAGATTTCACGATAATTGATGTAATTAAAAATATAAACATTATTAAAATATCCATAATTACCATTTATATAAATTAATTATACTAAATTTTTAGTGTTCTAATAAAATTTGAATGCATATACAAAATTATTTTATTTTACTTGTGACTTATGATATAAGTCACAAGTGTATTTTATTTGTTTAGAATAAATTTAATTCTACATTAATATCATAATATTTCATTAAATACAGTTTTTACGTCTTAATTTTTACAAAATCACGTATCTAATTAGTGAACAAAATATTTGATTTTGGATATTTAGTTTTTATTTTATTTTATTTTTATTTTCTATTCATTTTAAGTTATGTAATTTACATTTTTCTGCTGTGAACTTGTAAATGGATTAAGTTTTAATACTTCAACGAATAGAGAAAAGAAAATTGAAAAGTCTTATTAGAGTTTAAATTACAATAAATATGTAATTAAAAATACTTATAATTTAGTGTCGAGCCCGTATTATGTTCATATGTTAACGTTTTGATATGTGCAACAAGCTCATATCTTACAAATTGAATAAAATATTTGTTTATGGTCATGTAGTTGAATAATAAAAAATAATTTTTTCTATTGTTGAGGAACATATACTTAATAATAAAAATAAGAATTGCTGTGTAACGATGACTTACAAATATATTAAAATGTTTTGTAAAATTTAAACTAATAACTTAATTAATAGAAAAGTAAAATTATATAGTAGAAAGTTATTCATATTTCAGGTTAATGAAAATAATGACGAGAATGATAAAGAGAGACTAGACGAATGGCTTAGCGATGGAGAGATTTAACAACAATATGAATATATAGTCAACGAATTGCGATTAAAGAAGTAGATTTTATAATAAACTCCAGTATTGATGACAAGGAACTGTTTAGAATGTTATGGTACAAAAATTAATTTGTGTCTAAGAAGTCAATTGTTATGTATACGCAAAACAAATACAACAAAGTAATCATGATGTAATTAAGGAAATAGGAGTTGATATTTTTTTAGAATAATTCAAAAATTTCTTTTATTAATTTGAAAAGCATAATCAACAATTTAGCATCGAAGCATTTTTAATGATAGAGATTTTAATCACTGACCGATATCATCTATACTTATCTGAAATTTATCTCGTCTTCACGCAATGACCTCAATGTACTGGTTTTATTATTACTCAACATTGTATACAAAGAATTTTTGCGAAATTAAATAGGT